ATCTAGAAATCTAAATTTTCCCGGGGGAGGAATGTTGACCCCACCACCTAGGTTTGATTCCCGATCTGCATGATTCATATTCCCATTCATCTTATAAGTGGGCCCCCCCCCCCACTTTAAAAAACGTTCTGCCGGCCCTGAAGCATCATTCTCATCCTGTAAGTGGTGAGTGTACTTGCTGTTGGATGTGAAGGGAAAAAAAAACAATCAATAATAATTATAATAGTCCTCATCCCATTATTCTGAATATTAATGTATGCCCAACCAAAATCTATTTAATTTTTAGGTTAATATATTATTTTTTAGCATAATATTTATTTATCATCATCACCATTTTATGTCCAAAGTGTATAATATTGCCCTGGTCTGTCGAGTTTGTATTGCACTGGCATGTCAACATCAGTAACCAATATTCATGTGCAAGATGTAGCATGTGCGAGATGTAGCATTTGCAATGTGTAGCATGTGCGAGGTACAGCACATGTGCAAGATGTAGCATGTGCAAGGTAAAGCACGTGCATGGTATAGCATTGCAAGATGTAGCATGTCCAAGATGTAGAATGTGCAAGATGTAGCATGTGCAAAGTATAGCATGTGCAAGATGTAGCATGTGCAAATTATAGTATGTGTAAGATGTAGCATGTGCAAAATATAGCACATGTGCAAGGTGTAGCATGTAAGTTGTAGCATATGCAAGGTGTAGCATGTGCAAGGTGTAGCATGTGCAAGATGTAGCATGTGCAAAATGTAACAAAAGCCCAAGTGGAAGATGGAGCACAAGTGCAAGATGTAGCATGTTGATAAAATTTATTAAATGCATAGCACAGTCTGTAATTCTTTCATCATTTTATTTTACTGTTTCTTCACAGTCTAGAACATTTGATCTTCAGTCTTGTGTTTCAACTTCTCATTGGACTTCCATTGGAACTTGTCCATGGAACTAGGAGAATTGCAACTATTTTGTTCTTTGGAATTTTAGCAGGTAAAATTTTAAGCCAGATATATTTTTATTTTTATTTGCTTGATACAGTACTTCATTTATTCTAGCAGTGATGCAGGATTGTATACTGCACACATCTGATTCTGTGGAAGATATAAGGAGAAAAAAAATTGATAGGTTGTACAACTGATTTTCTAAGACACAAAAAGCATTTGACAAAAATCTTGGGCATGACGAGATAAGGCTTTTTGAATATTTAAAAACTGGTTGGGTGAGGGAGTGGGAAGGGGCATAATTCCCATTTTTGAAACACAACATGAGGCTTGCCATTCCAAGACAGACCAGTGTTCAGTGGCTCAGTGGCTAAATGTTAAACTGAGTAATTAACATAAGAATGTGACATTATTGTATACTTGGTACAGAGAAGCCTCATAACTTTGGCAATACTAAGTCGATTCCAGTAAATGACTCATCATTTTAATGCTTATAACATGGAGAATACAAATATGTTTAAAAAAAGTAAAAATTCTAATTAATTTGGTCACTAATGAAAGTTTTGGTATGACAAGCCCCATATATGTAATAAAATTTATGATTGTTAATTAATGAATATTATGTTATTAGTGTTAAACAATCATACATGTACAACAGCATTGCATTAGGTGTACAATTGCAATAATCAAACAACAAAATGACAATTCACAATGGTGGCGATACTTACATATAAATAGTGTAATATGTTTATACAGTATTGTAAATGTTGTATTTTCCTTCTCTTCAGGCTCTATGGGTTCATCCGTACTTGACCCCATGAGTTATGCATGTGGTGTATCTGCCGGTGTGTATGCTTTGATGGCGGGCCATCTAGCTAACAGACTGACTGTAAGACACATTCGTCATCATAAGTATAATTTATTATTATAGTAGGCCTAAAGCACCCATGTATTTTGTGAATAACTTGATCATCTTTTTATCTGTATTTCTTTTGCTGGTTTTATATATGAATGATGTGTCTGTTCTTTCAGCTATGTAAATTTTCTAACATCAAAAAAATCAAATATAGAAACACAGCCTAAAGGCAAGGTGGTCATTGTGAGAAAATACAGACTTAAATCCCACTGGCTATGGACCCAAACATAGCAATGCAACCCAAGCCTGACCCAACTTTCCGCTTTACCCTCAGCAGTAATAAAATGATCGTAAAATGAGATCAATCCTTAGTCGCCTAATTTTGGGGGGGTTTTTTTTACGTAATTTTTTTTAGTTCTCATTATTTCAATGGGAATAACAGACAGTACAGCTAGTTGTAAATTTGTAATGCTATTGTTATTTAATCTGTTTATATTTCAATTTCCAGCATTATTCTAGAATTCGTGAAGGTGCAATAAAATTAGGAATTATCATTATATTTGGTAAGTAGACCATTCATTTATCTAAATTATTTTTCCAAAGATTCTATAAAATGACTATGAAGACAATGAGAAGGAGAGCTTGCTATTCCTCAGCAAAACCTTTTAAACTGACCTACTCACAACTGGCAGGGGTGTATCCAGGATTTTTTCTGGGTGGGTTGTGATCATAAATTTTTGGACCTTTTCAGTGGGAAACAGAAAAATCGATTACAGCGCCACCAGCTTGATGCGGATGGCAGGCTCAGTTTCAAAATTGCTGGAATTGAGATAGATTACGTCACGCAATTTCAGTTTCAGTATATTCAGAGTTTCGCATAATACATTAAAAAAAAAATATACATCAATTGAATATAACATAATGTTGAACCTGTACATGATGTATTATGTGTGGTGACTCCATTAAGCCAAGGTTGGCAAGGTCTTTGGACTCATTGCTAGTACCTCATCAATGCTTTTTCATTTTTGTCATCGTGAAAGGGCCCTAGAAAAAAATGTGGACCTTTGAAAATTTTGGGGTGGGGGGAGTCGTACAACCTTCCCGACCTCCCTTGCATACAAACATGACTGGTAATATAGAATGATATGTGTTGCATTCACACCAAGCAAATGCACAAAATAGCAGTAGAATCCCTACAGTGATAATTATTATTCCGTTGTTTCCCTATTATTATTCCGTTGTTTCCATATTGTTATCAATAAGATTGTAAATGTCACTCTATTGATTCCTTACAAAAATTTACAACTGGATTAACCCAAAAGAAAATTTCTGAAATTTTCTAGTAAATCCAGAATGGATTAATTCACTCAGAATTGATAATAAAGTAGTAAAAACATAGAACACTCAGAGTGGACTTGAATGGATTAGTGGTTAAGATGCTTGCCTTCTGATCCTAGGGTCCTGGGTTCAATTCCTGTCACAGCAGGACTTTTCTTTAATCAACTCCACTCCCTAAGCCTAATAAAGAGACTTAGTTTATAAAGCATCTTTCTCATCGTGTAACTGGTGAGTTACTTCCTGTTGTGAAGAAGATAAAAAGAAAAAATATATATTCCAGGGAAATTCTTGCTTGCTTGCAGAAGCCGGTCCGGCAAGCGAGAGCAAGCCAGATGGCCAATCGGTTAAGGCAGGGCCACCGTGATCATAGCCAACAATATCGGCATAGGTTCACGGCCGGCTCGCTCCTATGGTTCTGGTGGTAGAACACGACTTCTTGGATAAGGACTATAAACCATAGGCCCAGTGTACACAAATGCTCATGTGCACTTTAAAGAACCCAGTACATCCTTCAAGATGAGTAGGGGGTTACCCCGGTGTACTGGTTCACCCGGCCCCTGTCGTGGACTGTTTTATGTGAGCTGGGCCCTCTGGGAGAACAGTAATTTGTTACTGAAGAGGAAACCCAGTATAAAGAACAAATAAATAAAAAATAAAAAATAAATTTAAAAAAAACAACTTGTAGGAGACTTGGGATTACTGTATTCAGGGGATAAAACATGTTTTTAAGCAAATGAATTTGAAAGTTTTGTGTACTGAATGAAATAAGTATCTAAACAAATACATATTTTTCTTTTATAGCAAGTGCAGACTTTGGTGTTGCTGTTTGGCGGCGATTTTCGAATGATGCGTTGCCAATATCATTCGTTCCGCATTTGATGGGAGTGGTTATGGGTCTGACGTTTGGTTTACTAATTTTAAGAAACTATGATCAAAAACTGCACGAGCGGTTTACAATGTGGATAGCAATGATGCTATGGTGTTTGAGTATGTTGTTTGTTGTATTATGGAATGTGTTTTTTAAACTGAAGTCCAATGATGATGCTAATGCAACAGAAGAACCAGGAGGCTGAGAAAAGTATTTAGAGATCGAACATGATTCAGGTTGTTAAATGTGAGTTAAGACAACTCGGTATGAGTAAATGTTGCAATGCATTTTGCAATTGTTTAGAATTAATAACATTTTGGTTTCTTGAAGTATTGTTCTGGTTAAGGTTTATGTGTACATCAAAATTATTTTGAACAATTTGATTGTTCTGATTCAAAAATGCTAAGAGACAAACTCCATCTGTCTTGCAGTAATGCTAAGAATTATATGTTAATACACCTAGACTGATTTCTGATATCTATCTCCTGTATATGTGGAGGTATAAAATGTATACCTCAATGGTAAAAGTTCTAGAGGCATTTGAAAGTGGGCAGATACATTTTTAATAAAAATTGCTCTCTGCCAAGCAGCATCTCAACAACTTTGACCTATAAAATGATGCAATTATCCACACCCTTATTTTCAAGTGGTAATGCTATCAACAATGAGTCAAGTGCGAAACAATGGACCTTTGTTGTTTTCAAAAGTGTCATCTGATGTAACTTGAAAATGGGTTGGGTTTTTTGGTAAAATAAAAGACATTCTGGGTTTAATCAACACCATCTGACTTGGAATACACATAGCTTGGTTGTTTTGGGTAAAATATAATAGGGGTTTGCCAATTTAAAAAAGGGGCCAAAGTAGGTCAGTAAAAATGTTTGTGGTCCACTAGACTTTTATGACTCCCATTATTTTTCTTGTCTTACATCAGTGTGATGAACATTTGCTAATAATTAGGATAACTTATCAATAATAAAATAGCCTTGATTCTCAAATTGAAAATAGAATTTCTCAAGTTTGCAGGTAAAAATTTATTTAACATAAAATAAATTATTCATCACAAAAACAGTAAGAGATTATTTTGATTAAATCATTGTATTTACCGTAGGATGCGAGAATAATAAAAATGCGAAACACAGTAGAATATAAAAATTTACTACAGTATATCTTTTTTCTGAAAAGAATATCTGAGCCAAGAAAGTTGGCTAAAGAAATTTTAAACTTGTTTAACAAGATTAAACTAAATTCGGTGGTATATTTTTTATACTTAGTGTACAGCCTGTGCTGACTCCATTGAATGATTAGATTATGGGGGGGGGGACACATCTAGATGTGTATAAGAGACAGGTAATATAGAATGATATGTGTTGCTATGTATAAATGTATATATATGGCTGAAGTTGCCTAAATTTCCATGGAAGATCCGCAGTCTTTTGAATTTTGTAAAATATTCCTGAGTTTTCAGAAAAAAAAAGCCCAAAATATTATAAAAACATCTAATTAGTGGCTTTTTGGAACTAGTAATTGAGTATTTCTGTGTCAAATTTCCTTTTTTTTTTTTTTGTGCACCGATTTTATCAACAATATCAGCGTACAAAAGCTTCCTTAGTAAGAATTCCCGACAATTCAAAAGATCAGAATGCATTTTAACATTTCCGTGGTGGGGGCACCCATCCAGTCTCCCGAATTCTGAGTTCCAGGGGTTGGAACGTTTGATACTATTCATCATCCAGAATTAGAATCTGATTATTTCTATTATTTAAGCAGTTGGGGGTCAATCTGACTTATACCCCCATCCCCCAACCTCACTCTCCTTTTTGCAATGAGTCTTTATTCTGACAATTCCTAAAATAAGCACATGATTAGATTTTGTCTACAGTAGTTTGTGCTTTTAACAGGTCATTCTATTCTAGAAGCCTTTTGATAGAGAAAGTACCTTTTTAGCAAGGTTTGTCCACAGTAGGTCAAAACTAATAGGATGTTAGCAATAAGTTTTAGTCATAAATGATGACTGTGTCAGAAGCTCAGGTCGAAGCCTTCAGCTGTGCGGTTGGCCTTAAGAAGAATTTGGTGAAGTGGTTTGCAGGTGTCCCAAGACTTTGGACCCTGGGTGTGCCATTGTAATGTTATTTTGAAAATCAGGATGTTAAGAATTTGGTTGAATAAAGTATCTGTCGAATTCTAATCAAATGTTGCGTCTAGGGTTCAGAAACTCAGTCTAGAGTCTTGCAAACTGCAGGTAAGCAGTGATGACTGATCACTCAGAATATGCATCCTGTTAATCCGATGGCATTTTTTTGCATGTGGAAAAAGAATATGGACGATATGTGTCGTATCTTACTGAATGCTGTATGTTCCTAAATACTGTACTTGTGAAAACATGTTTATTCTTGCTTTAACACGTTGACTGCCATACCTTTTTGTACGGTTCCTTCCTATGTGCCAAAACAAGTTTACATGTACAAACATACTTTTTTGAAATTTTATCGTCATATATCATCAAAATAATGTGTCTAATAAATTGGCGGGAAAATATTAATGGGCGAGTATACTCGTCGATGGCACTGTGATAGAACTTTTTACTGACTGCCAAGTGCGAGTTATCTCGTCCTCTTTTTGCATGGGTTGGTATGTGTTCAAAGGGCACCCCCACTTGTACCGCTCGAGTGTACTACCAGCAACATAACACAACAAGCATACATGTCATTTGTACGTTATCGTCTAGGTGTATCTTCCCCGAACTACCAGCCGTTGACTCTGTGGTCCTACATTGTATAATAAAGATGTTATAAACGCTAGAATGTTCCCCCGATTTTGACGAGTATACTCGTTCCTGGCAGCCAACGTGTTAATTGCTCTCCATTTTCCCCCAACAAAAGGGGAGAACTGTTAATGACCCCTTGTTGGGTAGGTCTAGCCTTTTGTGTGAATGGGAATATATCCTTATTAAATCCTAGAGATATAAATCCTAGCCAAATACTTATGTACATATCCCATGTAAATGCAGATAATTTGCAATCAAACCAATCATTACTTTGTAATACGCATATTATTTGTTGTATTAACATTTGTTAAATTCTTGTTATAATCATTAGGATATTAATAAAGATTTAGAAGTACAAAGTAGTAATTGAATAAATGAAGATGGTGCAAACAGTGCTCGAAAAAAGGAAACTCTGACTTGGCCTATTAATATTTTTTTTCATTTATTTAACTCTATAAACAAAGTCTCATAATAATGGGCTTAAAGAATGGAGCTGATTTTGGTTGCAAGAAAACTTTACAGCAATTGAATGGAAAGCATCGTAACTCCACTACAAAATTAACAAGTACCTTATCAATTGTTTAAAAAGTTCCCCTGGCGGTAATTAATTAAATATGCGAGGTTACGTTGGGGTCATATCGCAGACACAATCCTTCAAACATTGTTACTTTATTCGACTACCGTTTCTACCATTATATATTTCAACTTTAAGAACAAATTATACCGAATGACTAGTAATAAAACTCAACACAAAATGTTTATTCGTATTGTGGTGCAAAAACCAGCATCAGTGATTAAAACAACTAAATTGATGTCAATATACAGTATTCATGTTCTTCATGTTATAAGCTTTAAAATGATAGGTCATTTTCATACAGTATTCATGTTCTTCATGTTATAAGCTTTAAAATGATAGGTCATTTAAATACAGTATTCATGTTCTTCATGTTGTAAGCTTTAAAATGATAGGTCATTTACATACAGTATTCATGTTCTTCATGTTATAAGCTTTAAAATGATAGGTCATTTACATACAGTATTCATGTTCATGTTATAAGCTTTAAAATGATAGGTCATTTACATACAGTATTCATGTTCTTCATGTTATAAGCTTTAAAATGATAGGTCATTTACAGGAATTGATTTACTAATTGTCAAAAGTTAAGGAAGTAAAATTATACAGTACATGCACACATTCTCATGCACTCAGTTTAACATAGCCACAGTATGCTGGTTTTTTAAATGGCAAGCCTCAGATACTATATGTCTGCCTGAACGCACTTTCCCACTCAGCATAGGGCATCATCTGTAACTTAAATAACACTTTAGGTTGGGCTGGGACTGCAATAACTGCTACCATTTGGTATTGCGAACCATGTTCATCAGATGAACATAAACATGCTACAGTATGTCCCATTATTCAACAAATTCGGTGTAGCATTTCAGGTCTTACCTTTTTTTCTCCTTCACTTGGTAATTTCTAACCAGGAATGTAGTTATGATGGACAGGGCCACACAACCTTGACATTTTCCACCCAGTCTGAAGCTGAATTTCATGGCCCTCCACCCACCCTTACCGTGTTATCCACCACCCTGCTAACCAAATAAAGTCCTATCAAAGTGTTCATTCTAAAGCTATGTTTGAATTGGGTAAGTTTTACCATTATACAATTTTTGTCCTGTTCAGTATAAACACAGCACATTATTTAAAAAATGGACTTCTCTGTTGGGAAAAATCGCCCAATTATTCTTCCTGGGCAATGTTAAACATGCTGCGCACAACTTAGTTTAACTAAGGAGCAAGCTAAGTCAGTTGTTTGCATTGCACGTCTTTTCATACATGGTATGTTTGACCAAAATGAATCCAATCTGAACATTGCTTTAGAAACTTCATAGTAGATAATTACAGCTTCCATTCCATATCTTATATGTTGTAGTTGTCATACATAAACTCTTCATTATGTTCTCCATCATGGAAAGATAATTGCCCTGAAAAAAACAATTAAAATCAACAAATTCTCATATTCACCAGCAATGATATTTAATATGGCAATTTAATTAATAAGAAAGTTGCAGCCAATCCAATAACAAAAGCATTGCTTGTTTTCATAGCTAGGTGTCGACCATCCTGAAAAAGCCACAAGCTATGACGTTTTCTATAAATTAATTCTAATTTATATTTTTGCAATTTAAAAGAGAAAAGCTGTACAGTATGTGAATTTATCATGTTGACTGCATAGTTTTTGTATTCAAGTGCTAATATTATGTTTCTAATTTTGTCCAGCCACAAACCGTCATATATTGTATTAAAAAAGTGGAGAATGCTTTTCCTTCAGATTGTTAGTATGAAGTATGATTAGAATATATCAAAAACACTAACAAAAACAAGCAATCGTATATAAACATCTCCTAGGTTAGTAAAGTATGACTATAAAATCTGACTAAAAATAAATGCCAAGGGATTGGACATCATCATGCAAGGCCATTAGCGATTAATTTATACACAGGGCAGCTCGGCTGCAGGGTCTGTGTTCAAGTCCACAAGGTAGACAAAAAAATGAATGACAATTTTTCATTACTTGTTTTAGTTAATTTTACTGTAGTATAGAGTCGTCCAAATTAAATTTCCATTGAGCCTTGCGCCGAGAATAGCCTTAATGTTTTCAACTATAAAGGCCCAAATGGTGAAGCCTGAGGCCAAACAGAGTTAAGTAAGCCAGGGAATAAGTCTGGAGAAAACACTAGGTACAGCCTTTCAGATATTCTTAAATCGCTCATTATAGTTTCACCTTAGTGGCCTGGGCCCCATTGATTATGGGCCCAGGGGCACATTCCCCTGCCTGTCCCCCCTCTCCCAGTAGTAGAGTATATAACACAAGACTTGATGATTTCACTCTTGAAAGGTTTTTGGCATGAAAAAATATGTTATGCAGTTATGTAAGGAGGGAACAAACATGCGTGATGTATTAATATTATTAATAGATATAATAATAATAATATAGTTGAACATGGTGTAAGCACAGTCAACTGTAAAATGTTCCGAAAGTATAATCATCATGTTAATTTAATCTCAATTGTAAGCAGTGCTTTAAAGTCTGTTTATACTTGCAACGATAAGGAAAACGATAAAAAGCTAAAAAGCAATTGTTCATAGAGAAAGTAGTTGTAATTATAGTTTTCCCTGATTATGACATCATTTTAATTGATTTGTCAAAATATTTTATCTTATACATGATATATCATTATCATTTTTTTTCATTTCATTTTATTCAATATCAAAATCGCAGTCGACGACTGAATTAAATGATACTTACAAAAATACAGAACAGTAATACAAAAACATCAAAGGATTAATTATTAATAAACAATTCACAAACAGCACAGACATTCAGAAAAAGATCAAAAACATTAAAAATTGCAATATTTACAAATTATGATTAAATTTTATCTATAAAAATTTGCAATGAAGGCAGAATAAATTGAAATTTACAAAAATAAGGCAAGTAGGCAATATAAAAACATCAAAACATCAATTAAACATGGTCGCAAGACATAAAAAAGGAGATAAAAAGTAACATTAAAATTAAAAACATAAGCAGCACACAACAGGTTAAAAAACTTATGTAATAAAATCAATTATTTTAATTATTAAATTATTTTCATGTACTGTAGTAGTCATTACTAAAAAAAACCGTCAGTCAATCAATGTAATTATTAATAGTCAATAACAATCATAATTACTATTATCATTATTATAATAATAATACAGTAATGATAATATCAAATTGTCTTATTGTAAAAACTTCTTATTTCTTTTATTTTCTATATGAACAATTGCTTTTTAACTTTTTATCGTTATTGTTGCAAGTATAAGCAGTCTTTTAGGCAGCGAGCTACGATAGGCTGTGCTGTTATATTTGACATAATCAAATACCAAAAACATGGCCGATTATTTTCAGCCCGGGTATGCTAAATACGGAAAACCGTGCTACATATTAAATTTGCAGAAATATCAAAATGTACTGTGTAAAATGACATCAACTTGAAAGGTAAAAATTAAATCAAAAAAGTGTGCTTTCACGCAAACCATGAGGTTGGTCAGCCAGACACAGAGATCGTTCAATGATATGCTTGCAACCATGAGGTTGGTCAGCCAGACACAGAGATCGTTCAATGATGTGCTTGCTCGCTTGTAAACAAACCTAGATAAGGCCGCGCCTCCTGAACTCTGCTCACCAATTGGTTAGTGTCGTAGGGTGGTATGCAAAACCATGTGCTTCAGTATTCTTAATATCACTTGCAAAAGTAGAGCCATTCAAGCTACCAACTTGCATTGAATTAAATCTTAATAAGTGGCAGATCCAAGAATTAGAAAAAGAGGAGGCCCATGGTCTAGACCACATCAGTGCCACCATGGTTGGGGCTGAGGTAAGAACATTTATGATTAAGGCATCACTAGATGGCCAGAAATGGCACTCTCAGACTTCAGATGAGAGCCAGCACAGTATCGAGTGGCCATCTTAATATCCAGGGTCCCAATTTGGAAGCAGTCAATTTTTGAATGTAAACATTTTGTAAAATCTATAAATTTATATATGCATTTCCTTATGCAGATGCCTTTTATGAAGAGGTCATGCAATGATAACTGAAATAGCATGCAAACAAATATAGCACCTGCATGTATTGCGAATGTCGTTTTACCTATCGGATTCAAGGTAACTTGGTTGGCTGAGCAACAGTTGAATTGCCTAAAAGCAGAGAAGTATTCAAGAGAAACAAGGAAGAGCAAGAGTATCTAAACCCCTGTTCACATTTGATTAATTTTGAGCAAGACGAACTCGTTTAAATGTTTATATATAGTAAGTTTTTGCACGTGTGGTCAGATTAATTGCTGACATATTCTGAGGAACTGACTTGCTACTATATGTCCGCCTCGGACTTTTCTGCTCGGGAAAAACAGCCTGGTTATTCTTCCTGGGTAGTGTCCACATGGCTAGCCTTGCCATGCACCTTGCATAACTTGGCTGTGCAGCACATTATGCAGGTCATTCACACTGGATCATTTTTTTTTTCAGTGTGGCTTGACGAAAATTAATTTAATGTGAACACAGCTTTAGATGAAACTGTAAATCAGACTAATAATTCTAATTAAGAACATTTTAAAGAAAATTTAATAGAATCTTAAGAGCAATAATAAAGAGATGCATTTCTGTATTACATAATAATTTGGCTGAAGTTCTGTCCACACTATCGAATGTATGCCCATATACAATATGGGCATGATGTGATGTCATCATGACCATATATGGGCATGATGTGATGTAATAATGACCATATTTAGGCAGACTATCAAAATTTGATAGTCTGCACAGGGTTTAAGAGATTCAAGACAGACAAAATAAAAAATCAATTCAAAGAAAAAGTGTACAATGAAAAATGTAGATAACTTTGTATGGAAATGAAGCTGTCTACTACAACATGAATATACGAGTGAAGGTGAATGTAATAAAGTGAGGACAACTACATGTTGGAGATGTGTGACTAACATGGAGCACAGCACTATTGTGTTGAAATGTGTTTTGCCATGGATCGTTCCTATTGTAACTGCCTTAGAAAGTTCAATGTTCAAATGTCCAAACAAATTTATATAGTGCCAATTTCCAAAGGAAAACCAATGTTTAGTGGCATATTGAGAAAGTGCTCTTGATAATAAATTAATTTGAAAGTAAAAACATCTTTAAGTAGGCTAGGAGGCTCTAAGTAGCTTTATGTTTACATCATTCTATAATAAAAGGATGAAATAAACCAGAACATCATAGTAACAATACTCTTCCAAAAGACACAATGGTTCATTAAATTGTATAATTTTAAAGTCCTCATAAAAAAATTGGTTCCTTTCACAGGGGTCTAAAGCTTGGGTTAATGTTTACTTTGATGACAATACCAGTCTCAAATAATCAGTGGAATGAAAATTCTATTAGGGGAACATTACTACCAATATAGTAGCTACCATTCCTGACATTTAAAAAAAATAGCACTTGCATTACCTAGCCAGATTACCAATGTTGTGTGCACCATACAAGGTTTTGAAATAGTAATAAAATTTTATAACTTGAATGATCTTTAAAACCAATTTTTGTAGTCTGTGTATATACATTTTTTTGTTAACAATAGCTGCGACGAACCTAGGCTTCTAAACTCGTCCCTCACAATTGTACTATCAATGTTATTTTTTTTTTTTGGTGGGGGAGGGGCAGGGTAAATATTTGGTGAAATAAATGGTACATTGAATTGAAATTAATTTAATTTCTTTGTCAGTACAGAATGAATATTGATGCATATGTTCACTGATTATGTTGAACTGTGTATTACTTTACTGCCATTGAGATCTTTGAAAATCAATTTTTATTGCAATGACTACATTATAGTTAATGTATAATATATTTGCTTACCATATGTATTCTTAGCCACTAGTCCTTGTAACCTCTCTACTTCCTTTTCAAGTTTAGTATATGCCTGAAAAAAAATGCTTAAAAACTTATATTCCTTGTGAGTTAACAGTAAGGAACTGAGGACTAAGCCATCAACCCATCAATTCTGTTTTTGCCTTTGTCATTGAATAAAGCTTTGTCTACACTATCAAATTTCATCAAAAAAGCGTCACATAAAATGTGATGGAAAATGAGAGTTGAACATGTTAAATTTTTTGTTACAATTTGATAGTATGTGATTTGACATTATCGTACCCATATATGGGCACATCACAATTTTTTTGTCAAATACAGGTTGATAGTGTAGTCAAAGCTTAAGATATACTTTGTGACACATAGTTACTATTGAATATATAGTCATTATTTAGTTTTTTTTTCACATTTAAAGACAAAACATTATAGATTGGATTTATTTGGTGTGAACACAAAGGATAACCTAAAAAAGGGTTACCAAGGTTAACAATGGATGTCCACAGTTCAGCGTATACGGTGGCTACCAGTTTAGCTGATTAAGCTATGCTGCTCTCTAATGAGCTATGCTGTTGCCTAACAAAGACGAGCTTTAATACCTCACTGCAAGAATCCAATGATGTAAATCGACCTGAAGGCTCCTCTCGTTTATTCTCGACTTTATTTTGTATTTTCAATGCATCATGTACTTTACTGTCCATAACAAACCCTGCTGCCTGGAAAATAGCATTTAACCTCTTCTGGTATCCCTACATTTAACAAATTAGGGTACAAGATATTAGTTGAGACCATTTCACAACATGCATTTACATTTGACCTCTGAACCCTGCATATTTAATTTTGGCTATTTAGGATGATGCAGGGAATGTATTTAGGATGAATGCAGGACATGCAGAGAATTTCTGATGCTTTTATTCCAGAATTGGTTATCAATTTCAAGCTCCATCAAGCTAAAATTAAAGCTACAGTAAGGCGTCATTTTACATACCCCTTGGTACCAAAGGGTGTTTGTAAATTGAAAAATTCGTAAAATAGGGGTGTCATTTTCCAATACCTAGGCTTAGCTATCCCCTGCCATTGAGCGCTGATAGGCAAATGGTGGCCAGGCCTAGCACAAACCGACAGTGCAGCAGCGTGGTCTACCTCGCTAGAGCCTAGCTGGTACTTTCAATAAAAACCAAATTATTCTAAATTTCAAGGTCCATCAAGCTAAAATTAAAGCTACAGTAATAATAAATAACTATTATTTTAATTTCAATGCATCATGTACTTTACTGTCCATAACAAACCCTGCTGCCTGGAAAATAGCATTTAACCTCTTCTGGTATCCCTACATTTAACAAATTAGGGTACAAGATATTAGTTGAGACCATTTCACAACATGCATTTACATTTGACCTCTGAACCCTGCATATTTAATTTTGGCTATTTAGGATGATGCAGGGAATGTATTTAGGATGAATGCAGGACATGCAGAGAATTTCTGATGCTTTTATTCCAGAATTGGTTATCAATTTCAAGCTCCATCAAGCTAAAATTAAAGCTGCAGTAAGGCGTCATTTTACATACCCCTTGGTACCAAAGGGTGTTTGTAAATTGAAAAATTCGTAAAATAGGGGTGTCATTTTCCAATACCTAGGCTTAGCTATCCCCTGCCATTGAGCGCTGATAGGCAAATGGCGGCCAGGCCTAGCACAAACCGACAGTGCAGCAGCGTGGTCTACCTCGCTAGAGCCTAGCTGATTTACTTTCAATAAAAACCAAATTATTCTAAATTTCAAGGTCCATCAAGCTAAAATTAAAGCTACAGTAATAATAAATAACTATTATTTTAACTCTTATTCAAACATATGTATGTTTTATGGACCTTTTTATTGTGTTCTTTCTAGTTGTTAGATCGCCGAAATGTGTTGTTTACATGCATTTCGTGATCATATCTAACATTCACGATGAATAATAATTTGCTGACCCCAAACAGTCATTCTTTAGTGTAAACATGTGCGTTCAATCCGACGACACTTGTGTTGGTAGTTCGTTGTTCTGGTTAGGTTTTTACATTAATATAATGATTATTATACCAGAAATGGAAGAAAAGATCAAATATTAATAAACAAATACAACAAACTTGATTTTAATTTAGAGATATATATATATTACTGTATCACTTTTTTTTACAGTAATAATTGGTCGATGATGACGTCAAGGGAAAAGACAATTTGTAAAAAATCGATGTTCGTAAAATGGACGTTTTACTGTATTTACAATTATTAATTATTTTTTAACTCATGTATCAATATAATATGTTTTTACCAATAAAGATTTAGCAGATCAGTAAGAACAAACATTGGCGTAAGTGACTACCTTTTGTGTAACATCCTCCTGAAGTAATTGTCCTTCTAGCTCATTCCATTGATTCCTCAATTCCACAGATAATGTTGGATACACTAAATGGAAATGTTAAAAATTAAATGAAAATCTTGTATGTTTTAGTATGTAATAATTACATTATAGATAATTTAAGCTATGTTGTTGTACCCACAAAACAATGTGGAAACTCATCAAGAGAAAACAATTATTAGTATGTGCTGGTTATTCAACATTTTAAATTAAAAAGATAGAGGGTGAAGATTACAAAATGTATGAATAGTCATATATAGTTTATATTTACATGGTCAACTGAATTGAAAATTATTGGGTTATTCATAACACATAAGAATGACGATACAAATTATTACCTATGGTACTTCATAACACACAAGAAAAATATGATATCATTGGGTACTTCATAAAATATAAAAGTAAGAACTACACAGAAGATTGAACAAAACCATAATGAACATACAAAAAAGTAAACAAACCTAGCAGTGAATGTTTGTGGCAAACTAGTGGCGTCTTAAATTGCATTTCATATTTACAGGTAACAGGCTCCTCAACACTTGTCAACTCGTGTTTTGTTCCACAAACTAACTTAACCTGCAAAAAAATTAACCACTAAATTCTTGTTCAATTCAATAGTATAAGAATGTAACAATATAGTATACTTTGGCACAAAAAATTATTTTTTTAACAGGCGCTATACAAATTCTCCAATTTATTATTTATTATTATTATTTTAAACCTTCTAATATGGTAAAAATGAATATATTAAAAAGTCAATTTTTTTTGTTTTTGGCATGGCAAACCCCATATTATTAAAAACTTTTCCAATTATTAAAGTGAAAAAAGAACACAGACAAATAATGTCATCTTACCGTAACTTCCCGACCATGCTCACCACAAACATCACCTTCCCTCATCTTAAGGGCATAGAAGGAGTTGTTACGTATTTCCCATTCTTGCCATATGCTAGTCACAACAAAGAAACTCATGAATTACAAAATGGTTTTTAAAAAAATGCCATCAGATTTATCAATAGGCACCGGATGCAGGTCTAGGGGTTAATACACTAAAAAAAAACAAAAAAATGTTGATATCTCATTATTTATTTACAATATAAATTAACAAGTACAGCTGAATTGATTATTGATTATTATTGATAGCACCATAAGAATTAGAAGGCCTACACTTACCCTAAAATACCACTATAAGGGTTCCACCTCAAACTTTGCTCATGTTGAGTAACATTTTGAAAAGGACAGAATTCATATTTATACCTTCAAAGAAAAAAACAATGTTAGCAAGTGTTTGTTTATTATTTATTGCCCTCATTATAATATCACATCAAAAAACAAGTACATAAAAACATACAAAAATGAGAGCAAGAGGATAACCCTATAAGCTCTATGAGCTTGTTTCATAGGGGTCCTTGTACTGTACAACCCAACAATGTTGTACTGTATATTATTATACTTCACTGAAAAACAAGTCTTAGATTGTTATATCATAATTACAACCCAAGAACATTTACATGCACGATAACCATCATAACAATTTTTTTTCCTATTTCGTTTTATCGTAAGTTACAAATAATATATTAATATATACATGCGTATCCTTTTTTTAAGTAATTTTTTACAACTATTACAATAAAAAAACTCCTCCATATTATAAATTTAAAAATAGATCTATAAAATCATAGTTTATTATTTTTCATGCATCTGTCTTCACAATTTGCTAATATCAAATGTGATTTGACTGACAGAGATCTGTAATATAATTTGTATTGCATTACCACATCAGACAATGCTCATTAAATTTGATAGTAATACTGTAGGAATTCTGAATAAAAATATATAAATTATTTTGCAGTTATATGTTTTATTCGTTAATTACATGCACTTTTTATGAATGTTAAAGAGGTATTAGGTATTTAAAATGAGGTTTAAAGGCCAGTAGTGTTTTGTGCATTAGGAAATCTACTGTACTATAATATAAGGTTGGTAGCAGACTTTCGCACATAAAGAATTCTCTTACTGTACAGTACTAGTTTTCAAAACATGATTGTACGAAAATTGTTCTTTTGCATGTTATCAGGCTATGAAAGAGCTTTATTTACTTTGTATAAGTCTGTTGAACCACTACAAAATAAATTTAAGCAACAACATTTGTACTGTAAAACATTACACATGATCAAACTAAATCAAAATAAAATTTATGTTTCATAAATTAATGTTCATTAACTTGATTTGCAAGGACCTATGCGAAAACATGTTTTTCATATTTTGATAAATTTGGTAGTAAAGTTACTTACGATGATTGAATAAGACTAAAACATTTTCCTTTTAACCGTCGAAGATGTGGAGGACCTGTCAAAAGGAAATTGTAATCTTTTAGGTGTCTAGTTCAGAAGCCATCTAAAAACACACCTTTTTCGATAGTTCTCCCAACTTTCTCGATCTTATGTTTATTGTTTTGTTTGTTTTCTAATTTTTCTACTGCTTTATTGCATTTGTTAAGTTAGCTCACATTGCATGGGTTTGTTTCTATGCAAGCTTTACTCAGGGGTGATGTTTTTGACTTATTGTGGAGAGTCGCTTACAGCGCTTCGTAACTGAAAAGAAAGGTAACAAGTATAAATAAGGGATAAATATCTGCCTAAATCAAAGTTTAAGAATATTAGCCTAGATCTAAATAGCACCAAGTAAGAGTGAAGATTGAGGAATGCCCCCTCCAAAAGCATGATGAAGGAAAGCAAACATGATAAGGTAAATATAAAGTGTCTACTTGCCTGAAAAGTTTGCTGCTTTGACACGAGGTTTTAATGAGTTCATGCTGTCATCATTTGCTTGCTGGTTATACCTATTAAAAAAAAAGTACAATGTAAGTACAGTAATGCATCCTGGTCAACAGTCCCAAAGCTGGGCACCCATCACGTCTTACGATGTTCGTACAACCAAACTAACTCTGTTAAATATTTCCCACGCAAATATAAGAGCGGTACTGGGTAAAGACAACTTGATTTCTTGCTTCGAAAAAGGTATCCAGTTGTAGGAGTCTTAGGAAGATAGCCTATCCAATAGTGACGATAAAGGGTTAGGACCATGACATATCTGCGACTTTAGATTGACAAAGATTGGAATATGTTAAATACAGACACAATGTATATGCATGGGCTAGTTCTAGAGTCTGAGTTCAGTGAAAATATGTAATTATGTATTGATTGATATAATATAAACATTATGCTTAAATACGTATTTAGTAAAATAAATTAAATCACATGAAAATAAGGAAGCAGCATAGGAAGAAAGAAGAATAGGAAAGAATTTGAAGCGGCTGAAATATTCACCGAAAATAAACAATAACGATCGTTTTGTCATTACTGCATCACATTTTTGACACTAATGAGAAGCACTGGTTAAATATCATGTAGTGCAATATTACCCATGTGCACATTAAAAAAACAGTATGGGATTGTCACGCAGTCTACTGGGACAAGTCTTCGGACTTATATCCATTTATATCCTATTAATCTTACCCATAATTTGATGGTTCCTGTACAAGTCTCATTTTCACTCTTTCACTTCCACCTGTGTAGATGCAATGCATATTAATTTTTTGAAAAGTAGGCCTACACAAAATGACCAATGCAGTAATATGAAATACAACAGATTCAAATTACTATATTTAGCTTAAACTATAATTTAATACTCATGTTATCCTTTCCTACTTGGTAAGTACACACACATGCAAATTATGCTGGTGGTAATTAAAACAAGTAGGCCTACAACAAATTGAATAAACCAGAACAGCAATGACCAAAACGGCAACCTTTTTTGACCAGAACGGCAATAGACCAAAATGGCAATAAGTCAAATCGGCAAGACCAAAATGATTCTAAACAATTTATGTCATAAAAGAAAAAAAAACGCAAAAATATATACTAATTATAAAAATGAAAATGTATTATGATTAAATACAGTAAATATGAGGCTAAATAGCAGCAGCAGTAGTAGCAATAATATCAATAATAATATTAACAATAACAATAATAATTAAAAAAAATAATCATACAAATTCAATATTAAAAAGATTGAAGGGGGGGGGGGAATAAAAGCAGTAAAACATTTAAACAAATAAAACTTTAAATACAAAAATGAGGCTAAGCAATCTATGTCATAGAAGTAAAATAATAATATAAACATTAAAAGTGGGAAAAAGAGCCCATGGCAATATTCGATTTGCCTATTGGGTCAATTTCAATCAGAAAATTATAAACTGCGGCCTGCGCCCAGTGGCGCTTGCTAATCTTTCGCTACTTTGCCATTTTGTTTGGTCTATGCCGTTTGGTATTTGTCATTGTCATTTTGGTTATTGCCATTTTGGTTTATTGACGTTTTGACCTGCTACCTTTTTACCATGTTCAGTAGGCAGGCCTAGGCCTACACCTAGTCCTAGGGCCTGGCCTCCACCTACATTGGGGCTAGGGCCTAGGCCTTGTAAAATTTTAATTGTTCGACCATTCTTATTTATTAGGCTAGAGGCCCTAGGTAGGCCTAGGCTATAGACTCGGCTAGGCCTATATCAGTATCACCTTTTACTTACTATTTTGATGTTATATTAGGGCCTAGTTAGAGGCCCTAGGACTAGCCTAGGTTAGGTAGGCCTAGCCCTAGGCCCTAGGCCTAATTACTAAGCAAAATTTATAAAGCAATACTTTAATTTCACATTTAAACTTTTTTACACATGTATGTAGTATTAGGTATAAAATAAGGAGGAGCCACGCAAGACATAGCCTAGGCCTGCTCGGCTTTTCTTCTAACCCACTAGCCTATCTAGGGCCAGGACCTAGGCCTAGGCCTAGACCTAGTCTAGTCTATTCTTTCCGTACATACCTAGCCCCCTAGCAAAGGCCTAGGCTAGAGCGGCATCTGCCCAGCCTAGGCCTAAGACTGTAAGTAAGTCCCCAGTCTTACTTCCTTTAGTACGTTTACCGTTGGAATTGGAGCAACTTATGGTTAATTATGACCAAAGTTAAGTTGTGTGGGTACCAAAATACTATACCTGTCACTAACATAACTGTAAGTATAATTTGTATCAAAATCCATTCTATGGTATTCATTTTGGATAAATTATGTGCCTAATTAATGACGTGCTATTTACACGTCTATGGAACGCCGTTAGTAAAAAACTCTATTATGTGCAATCGTCATGACGATGTGGTATGGTCATGATCATGGGCGTCGATCGGTGAGGGACACCCCCACTTACTTTTCAAAGTATGGGGGGGGGGACATCATATCGATTGTCCCCCCCCCCACTTTTCACCAATCTTCTATAACTAAAACCCCACTTTTAAAAGTGTATGGAAAGAATAACAATTACGCATAACTCATGAATTTTGCCTGTTCACTTTTCCAAGACTGAGTAAAAACGCAATTGTTTATACATTTCGTAACCATCTCAGTCAGAAACACTAGATCAATTTCATGGGTGCAGTGGTTATCAGAGGCTAAATTTATTGTGAAAACAATGTACTTAACGTTGTTAAAATTGGAAACGTGTATACTTATTAGGCCAGTGTTTTTACACTGCACAATTTCTAATATAAACGATTTATTCCTTTAGTATATATTATTACGGTACTATGACCCGTACGTATATATACTAGTGTTTGATATTATAGGCCTATACATACATAGGATACTATTTTTCCTAATTTCCAAAAAAAAAAAATTATAGTTAGTCAACTGAATTTTATATAGCCATTTTTAAACAATAATTATACAGCTTTTGACACGGACATGTCTATCTATTTCTATTTCTATTTTTTTTTTTTCATTTCGTCCCCCCACCCCCACTTTCAACCACGGATCGACGCCCTTGGTCATGACGTTATGATGTGGTTTGGTCATGATGTTATGTGGTTTGGTCATGGTGTATGTGGGTTTGGCATGATGTTATGTGGTTTACACAATACGTTATGTGCTTTAGGCATCCCGTTTTCACTGATCTTTAGCCGTTGTGTGGAGTGTGGTTTGGAGACATGACGTTATGTGGTTTGCACATTATGTTATGAAATTTCGTTCAGAATCTCAGAATTGCTAATTACACATCGATGGTAACTTCAGCACTTTCGTCCAATGTGTTTTGCTGCTTGTGTGCAACGGGTGCTCAAGTTTACTTAGTTTGTTTCATATTTGTTGAGGAAATTTTATTTATTTGGTTTATTTTGGACCTATCTATCTAGAATTGATTTGGAAAGTTGAATTTTCATTAGCCTTGACGACCTCAGATGGAAGGTTATTTCAATTTTATTGTTTTGGGCAAAGAAAACTGTTTATAATTTTCTGTGCCGCATTGAATTGGGGTGTATTTATGTGATTTCACATTTCTTTGTTCTCTGGACAGTTTATTGACATACGTCGGAATATATATAGCAACATCATTTATGGCTCGTTTTGAAATAGCAATAATGGACGTCCTTTAAAGTATGTGAAGAAGACGTCATTACCACACATTAGTAGACATTTTAGAGTGATGACTATCATGGCCGGCGGAACCGGGGTGGAAGCCCGGGCCCCCACTTTTTGGCAGAAAATATATAATGCCTATGGACATTTTTGTATGATCGGGAAAAATGAAAAAAGAAAGAGCGAAGAAGGAGGGAATGGAGGGGAAAGATAATGTTTATCAAGTTCCCGACCGAGTTAGATTTTCTCGCAATTCACATTGGCGGATCTGGATGATCAGGGGTCCTGACCCCCTCCCCCACCTCCCTTGGGCAAAAAAAAAAATAAATAAAAAGGATTTTAGACCCAAATTTTCCGTGAGAAAAAAAGAAAATTCAATTAAATTTTTAATCAATTTGTTTTTTATATGACTTTTTTTTATTTCCTCCATTTTTTAAAATTTTTATCATTAGTTTTATGTCTGGTGCTGTGCTTTTTATCCATCGTTTCTTTTTTATGTTTGTGTTTTGAATTTTGGTGTTCTGTATTTAAATATTTAAGCAATTATTGTAATACACTCATATACAGTATTTAGGCTGTCTGTCTAAATTTTTAGTTTATATTTTTGACTGAATAAAGAATAAAGACCTTGAATACCGGTACAAGATTAGAAGTCGGGCGAATTCATTTCCCGCCATCTAGGAATCAACATTTTCTCAGGGGAGGATGCCCGATTTAATTTTTGGGGTACATCGATTCATGAAAAAAGAATATGTATACAAAGTATGATTTGGTACACACATAATAAGCTTATTTACTGTAATAAGAATGAGAAAAAAAATTACGTGACCGTTTTTAAGGAGGAAAGTCTTGAATTTTGAAGAACTTAAAAGTCATTAAAAAGACACTCCAGAAGTCGGGAAAGCTCATCTCCCGCCATTTTGAAATCAACATTTTCCCAGGGAGGACACAAACCCGCCTTTTTGGGGTTCATTTATTCATATAGTCGTTTCCAAGAGGGGTACAATCTTTAATTTTGATGTATGTTTCGTTTCCATGTCAACTTGTGTGTGCATGCTACACTGCACATAGAATGTGTGGGCCTATCCTATTACTGTACGCTGGGCACTTACTGCGCAAAACGGTCGTCGCAGCCGATGTGTGATGCTATGAAGAACGCCACACGACGCGCACAACGGATCATTTCGACGATCCGTTGAGATTGCTACGGTACCGACAATCAGCAGACGGCGTTGCGTCATCTATCGTTCAAAGGGAGCGGAGTTGGATTTGTCGTACGACACAGTGAGTGCCCGGCATTATTCTTTCTTAAATAATCATAAAAATTACAATTTTTCATGGGACCTCACTTAGGCAAAATGTGTTTGATTGTTAACAGTTTATTATGTATCTATTTTTTTTTTATTGCACATGATTTACTGGAATTTTTGGAATTAGAGGTTTAAAAGAATACGGTTGTGTGATTAATCCTGGTGCTTTCTAAGACGGAGTCGACGTTAATGTAAATAAAACTCGAAAAATAAAACTGTTCCAAAGGTATGCTTGCTTACATTTTTATATCATTTGAAACATCTTACTTGAATCTATTATACTGTGTATGATGATGGTGATCAGGCATACAGATTTCAAGAAAAATACAAAAACAGCGTGGTGTCCCTGTGCATTTTTGCATGCGTATTCCTGACATAGTTTTATGTACTTATTAAAACATTGATACAAACCAAAGTTGTCAGTTATTTCATTTTGAAACCAGTGTCAGTATAATCTTAGGTAAGCATGTAGTTAACATAAGCAAGAATTTAGTCCAATGAAACTGTTTATCATCTTGATAACTTCCGACGAAAATTGAACCTAACGGCGTCACCACCGATCGATCTAACGTGACGTTGTTATGTGGGTATTTTATAGATTTTTGAGAATGGTAATATCACCGAAAAAATAGATAAAATGGCAGTTAAATGACCAGCAAAGACAACTGAAGACAATATTTTGTCATTAGAAGTTACTTAGTATAACTTTATTCGGAAAATTAATCTCAAATTCGAGTTGCCGTCGCCCGGCCAGTGACGTCGTATGATTTGTGTGCGATTTTTACCAATTTACTCCTAAGGAAAAAATATTTGAGCCATGTAGTACCGGTACCTTGCAAATCAACCCAGAAACCCGGTGGAAGTTGTTGATTGTTTATGTAGCGTACCTTCGGTGCCAAAAAGAGTTTTTTGGCAGTGCGTCCCTGGTTACATCGTGAGGGCATGGTGAAGGTTGGTGACGATCTGGTGGCACATCGATTGAGTATTTTCATTCATCTGGCCATGTAAGTCAGTGGCGTATCTAGATGTCTTGAAACGGGGGGGCTGATGGGGTAGGGCGCGAATGTGAAGTGTGGGGCCTCGATGATCTGTGAGGGGCGCTAATTCGCAAAATTAGGTGATTTTATGTGATTTTTAACTACTTCACCCTGATTTTTTTTAATTTTTTTTTTGAGGGGGCGAGTAATTTTCGGGGGTTGGGGAATAGATACGCCACTGATGTAAGTACAGATCTATTCTTATATTTTACACATATTTACACAAAGACCCTACCAGTCTATTCATACACTTAAATTAGTGTAGAAAACTAGATGACGTCGGTACGATGTTTAAAAAAAAACAACAATTACGATGAATATTCTCAGAATTCTAAAATGCACGGAACTATAATTAGTATTTCATTCAAATACAAATAGTAAATAGGAAGAAAGTATTATCGTGTATGATAGGAAAGTAAAACGTTCCCAACGTCAGCACAATGAGGGGGGTACGTATGTGCCCACGTCCCGATTGTCATTTGTGCATGGCGTGAAATCAGTCAGTGAATGAAGATAATTCCGTACGTGCCGGCGGCCGTCTTGACCCAAATTAGTGGCGCCGGGGCAATAGTTGATGGTAAGTAACAGTACAATAAATAATATCTACATAATTGTTGAATGCAGGGACCTAGCTACCTTGGTAGATTTGTTGTTGTTTCTTGCGCATCATCCCATTGCACGGTTGATTTTGGTGTGTTCTTTAATCAGTGGTGAATCCAGTGGGGACACGGGGGAACATACTCCCACCCACGTTTTGCTACTAAATTTTAAAAAAAATTAAAATGCAAATCAATGTTATGTGCTACTCACTTATGGTACTTATTCTGAAACTGTTGTGCCCCACCTCATTCCCCCCCCCCCCCCCACCGTTTGAAATATTCTGGATCCCTGCTACAACCTGCTTGTTATTCAATTACATCGGAATCTGTAATATAATAGTACTGAGAGCATGGACTGTAATAAATTAATAGGTCCATACTGAGAGTTTAATTAATATTTAATATCATTTAAGGCACTCATTTATTAGTATATTTTCATTAATTATATGCAATTCTACTATCATCGTATACGTTAAAGTTCGTCTTTATTTCCATTTGCCTTCGTTGCCCTGTCAGTTTTTGTTTTCTTGTCCGAGGTTTTCTTTTTCTTCTTTTTCTCTGTATTATCTTCTTCATTTTCTTTTTCTTTCTTCTTTTCTTTATTGGCTGGCACCTTTCTTGCCTTCTGTGAAATAAACGATTTCATATTTTAGTCATCAATTGTTCTTGGTTCTTTAGGGAACCCTAAAAACATCAGACTTGCGGCCTGCAACCCAGTGGTGGGCGCCATGATTTGCCCAAAGAGGTTTCCGTTTTTCTCCCGACGAATTGTGGTTTTCTCCCTGACCCCGGCCCCAGCGCTGGTGCCACCCCTGCTACAACCTGATTTAATTATGATCCAAATTTTTAAAAATTATACACCTTATAACAAAACCGGACACTCACTGTGCCCGACGGTCGTCGGCTGCGGCCGAGGCGATTAGAGAACGCAACGCTACGACACAACGGATCGTTTTTAATGACGATCGCTAAGACTGACGCCAAAAATCATCGGATGGCGTCGCATCGTCAGTGCTCACATAGGAAGGAGTTGAATTCGTTATACGAGGGTCATAACTCAATGCGTACTCAATGTTATCAACTCACAATGAGAGGGCAGTATAATACGATGTAATGCTAAGCTCTGTCCACAATATCAAATTTTCTTTGACAAAAAATTGTTGTATGCCCATATATAGTCATGATGTGCCTATATATGGTCATAAAGTGATATCATTATGCATTTAGGCAGAGCACATTTGATAGTCTGGACAGCGCTTTACACTTACCGGTCCCTTGTATTTATTGATGCGGAAGTTCGATCTATCTACTCCAACACAGGCATCAGTGACTTCAAAGCAAAGTTCTAGTTCTTGTTCTTCGGCATCGATATCCTTAGATAACACTGCTAAAAGCTCTTCCTTGTAGTCACCTAATGGAAAATGATTATTATTCCAAAAATTGTAGATTTTGCAATATGAATTGAAGTTACAAAATATTTCTTAAAGGTTTGCAGAGAGAGTAGCCTATCATTAACAAAATTATGAAACTAAGTGGTTTTACCTTACAAATTTGCCGACAAGGAGTCCGACATGTCCGACGGGAGGTGGTGGGGGGGAGGGGCGGACGAAGCCTTGGTCTCGTAGGGTTCACACTTTTTTTATGGAAAGGTACTCTGCTAGACAGGTACATTTTGATGGATCCCAGATCAGCCCCCCACTGTGGTTTGGGGGCTGGCTTAGAGTTCTTCTTCCCTTGTTTTTCCAATTACATATTCTGTTCACTTGTTTCATCGCTTATACAACCATAGAGTTTTACTCAGTTATAAATACATAATCTTTAACCCCGTCTTTAACTTTGCCCTTTAACATTTATAATATTAACAGAGTGAACTTACTCGTCCAGTAATCACAGACTTTCTTCATATTTGGTGGACTGAACTCATATGAACGAAGGTTCTCAAATGTACACACATTTGTTATGACATTTTTTGCCTTCTTTCTACTTCCCTGACCAATTATTTTATTTGCCTCTGAAAATAAGAAAAACAACAGCCAAGTGAATTGAAGAATTTCAAATGTATAATGCATTTGGGTACCATGTATGTCTTGATAATATAAAACAATATTTAAAAGTCCCAGTGGAGGCTAAGTTTTTCTTTCTTTGTCAGATTCATGTTTCGTTTCAATTTTAACAATATATAT